AGTAATGAAAATGTCGTCAAACTTGCAGGTGGCAGAAGCATGATATCGTTGGCACGATAACACAAAAATCTATTTAGCGCCTATTGTCATTTGACAGCAAAAGACTTGAGCCACAAAATATTCAGTCACACTTTCACAGGTTTTACTCAATCATGTTTGAATTATAAATATTTTTGAACAAAATCATAACGATTATTGAATGATCAAAGTATCAGATCTTGCTACGTACGTATTTTGCTTTCTTATCTTCCAAAAGTATGTACGTAAAAAGATTAAATTTACTCTGCATGTTAGAATCGAAATATACAGAAATAAAAACGAAAAGAACGAGGGGAATATACTTTCAATTCACATAATTTAAATTCAACTTTACATCGACGAGATGTGATTGCTACAAACATTTGAACTCAACACGCATCACGTTTTTATCGTTACATTTGCATCTGGATATAATTTTTTACACATTTCCACTAGGATAACAAAATTTGAGGAACATTAGAGCAAAAAACAGCACTATGTGCCATGTGGTAATTCAAATCGCAGTGATTATAAATTTCCCTATCATCTAAGTTGATGAGCGTCGACGTAACCCAGTGAAAATTTACAGACGCGGCAGCTTCTGATTTGAATTGCCAGAAGCTGGGGCGACTCTAAATTTTGTTAGGGAAGAGCCGCACAAGTTTGCGTAATCCGTGAAAGAAAGAACAGCGTCATCTGCTAGAGGACAATTGGCCAGCCAACACCTGCGTCCGTTGCCAAACTCAATTGAAATTTACGTCCGTGGCATTGTAGGCCACTGATACACGGGTATGATTCGGGCATGTGAGGCCCGCTTCGGGCACGTATTTAAGGTCGTATCATTGTTGGCTGAAGATCGGCCCAGTTGCGATCGTGGTCCGACAATGATTCGGGCATGTGAGGCCCGCTTCGGGCACGTAGGTTCACGAATAGGCAAAAAATAAAACAGGCGCCACGAACGAGACAACTGTCCGTAAAATTGCCAAGATTTTATCCAGCGTGATTTAAAGGCGCGTTTTCATCGTTGGCAGAGTAAAGTGCCTTTATTTACTTGACATTTTTCGATGTGAGTATTTAGTAACAGTATTTACTGATGCCATGAAATAATTCAGTAATCCACATGCTTCATTTCTGATCTAAAAATTATGTTTCCATAATTTTGCAGTGAATTAGATCGTGACTTCAGAGAAGTTTAAACTTTGATCTCAGTCGAAAGAGTTCTTCAGGTTCTTGCAGCTTGCAACGCTCAAAAAAATATATACCGTACATATATAAATCGAGACATCGAGAAATAGAGAATTTATAAATCAACAACAGATATAGAGTCAGAGTCATAATATCATTGAATAAACATATTTTCAGGGATTTAAAGCTATAATCGATCAAATGAATTCAAATCGCACACGGTAAACACATTTAGGCGCAACCATCATATGAATTTTACGTGTATCCAGCCATAAAAGCACAGGCTCCATGCAGAGCCAGAGAGATTTTGGGGTATAAACAAAGATTCCCTAGAAGATCCACGACCGTTATCCTATTTCTGTCCCGACCCAACACAGAGGCCCAGGACGCCTCTACCTGAACACCTGCCCTTGATGGCACCCATCCTACAACAATGCAAACGAATACCTTTCCTTTTTCGATTCGAAGTCTCAGCACAATACACAATAACCTTTTGTGCTAAATTCGACTCAGTTTCCTAGAAAGACAGAATAAAAAAGTAAGCTGAGCATAAAAATGGGTAGTGGAATTTCAGACCAACGAATTCGAAGACTAAAAGCAACGATTAACTTTGAAAATTTTTCTATTTTAGTGTAACAATGAGCAAACTCATTTTATTAACAGAAAATATTGATCAGTAATACCACAATCTGCTCTGCAATTAAACAGTTTACAAAATTTCAGCTGAAAGCAGCAACACAATACGTTCAAACAAAAATCAAGTGCATGAGCTCCAAATGAGTGCCTGGAAACAGCCAAAATGGCACATATAAAAGTACATTGGACGCGCGTCTGTATTCAAAGCAATCGAACACGAACTTGAATACAGAATAAATATAAATAGGTTAAAAAATACAAAGGTTATTCTCGATCTCAATACTCAATACAATAGGGTATACTAATGTATAATGCCAACAGCTCTGAACAGCTTACACCTGCAGTTGAAATACCTCAATCGCTCGGGAAGAGAACAACTTTTTACCTCCAGTCTGGATTCTCCAGCCAGCAGCTGTAACTCGAGAAGAGCCTACCAGTCGTTTTTCTTGTCCTAACTGATATTTTGAACGATAAGACTAAATCTGAGGTTACTTGATCCCTAGAGGCAATCAAGTCAGACGTACATTCCCAAACGAAGCCATGACAGTATCAAAAATAAGACAGTGACAGTCAAAAATAAGAGCATTTATAGCAGGAAAAAATAATTGCATAATTAGGCTTCATTTCATCACAAGAAAATCATTAGTTAAATTTAATCCGTAATTATAATTATTATTAAACTTTAATACAGTTTTAATTTATTATAAGTACCCGTTTCTCATCGAGATGCAGAAATGAAAACCATAAGTTCATTTTCAACTTCTAATTAAACGGTCACATCAAACTGCCAGAAAGTATTCAGCCAAGAAGAAAATCTTGATTGATCTACAAGACTTCTAGTTAACAGTAATATATGTCACAAACATGTTAGTCAGTGGTACACGCGTGTGATTCGCGTATGAATAAAGTAAAAATATAAGAAACAACAAATAAAAGTAGAAACAAAGACTTGCAGCGAAACACGCTGGCAGAGGTGTTGCAGTAGCAACTCTGACAGGACAGAGGTGTTGCAGTAGCAACTCTGACAGGACAGAGGTGTTGCAATAGCAACTCTGAAGAGGTGTTACAGTAGCAACTCTGACAGAGGTGTTACAGTAGCAACTCTGACAGAGGTGTTGCAGTAGCAACTCTGACAGAGGTGTTGCAGTAGCAACTCTGACAGAGGTGTTACATTAGCAACTCTGACAAGAGGTGTTACAGTAGCAACTCTGACAGAGGTGTTACATTAGCAACTCTGACAGAGGTGTTACAGTAGCAACTCTGACAGAGGTGTTACAGTAGCAACTCTGACAGAGGTGTTGCAGTACCTAGCAACTCCGACAGAGGTGTTGCAGGTGCAACTCCGGCAGAAGTGTTGGAGTTACAGGCCGCATATGAGCGTTGTTCCATCATAATCATCATTTCCACGAGGTAAAAAAAACACCATCTACTCGTCTCCGACCCTCCTCGGCCGCCCAAGCAGCGATCGAGGTGCCCGCCGTCCAGCTGTCACTGGACATGCCTGGGCCATACTTTCAAAACTGGCTAAGTGAACGTAAGTACTTACGCTCTATTTTCTTGCCTATGATTGGTGGATTTTGCTTGAAAGGCCGTCAATGATTGGCTGATGGACTTACGATCTCTTAACTTTTTTTAAAGTATGGGCCTGGGCCGGCCTTCACGGTACACAGCTCAACGACACACAACTCACTATAGTCCCACCCAATCTATTGTTAAGCGATCTCACAATAAGAATTTTTAAGAAGTTCATTGTTCACACATTACAGGCAAATTTTATAATTTGTTATTTTCTAGCCTGCTTGTGCCACCTTTATCTTTCAGCAATGCGATTATAAAAAGTCGGATTTGAATCGAAAGGCGTATCGAAAGTATTTTCGATACGCCTAATCATATCTTCCGTTCACCAATTCAAACATGGTAAATACCGCCAATAATATATGCGGCAATAAACGAAAATTCACCGAAATTGAAATTGTTTCTTTACATTCATGATTGGTATATGTATAAAGAGAAAAATTTGAGATATTAGATGGGAATGTCTTATGTATTTAGATGAACCTGCCTTAACAATCAGAACTCGGCAAGAACTATAAAAATTTATTGCGTTTCAAGAACAGAAATGTGAGATTTGGTCAGCTAGACGACTCACAAAATTGAACAGCCACCGGCAACGTAGCATGGTTCTTTGAATCGAATTCTGAATAAATAAAACGTAGCATAATTCGTTGAATGAAAAACTATAGACTGATAACTCAACATGGTTCTCTACATCGAAGAACCGCAGACAACGTAAGCTATTCTTAATTTCTTTACATCGGAGAACCACGACAACTTAAAATACTTTTTAATTGTCACTAAATTTCAAGTTTAAAATTTAACCCAGTGACAAGTTTTTCAACCCAGCGCTTTTTCACTACAATAAATGTCCACTGAACATAACAGTTATCGCAAATGTAATCTTCAAAGATGATAAAGCTTGTATAAATGGTGATAAATGCAGATAAAGCTAAACGATAAAATAACCCATACGTAGAGATGACATAGCAAAATAGAAATATAATTTTTAGCTGTTACAAAGTAATTCCATCACACGAGTCTGCGTCTCATAGCCAAAACTGTAATGGCCAGGTTTCTTTTATTAACTCAAACATCTTCAATAGAAGAGTCAATAAAAACTGCCAACGAGTTGGTGAAAGCGTTTTTGAAATTCAGACACTCGTAATTGCAAATAATATTAAAGGTATATCAATCAAATTCTACCAAGTCAACGATTGAATCATCGAATAACGAATGTTATATGCTAGAGATAAAAGAAGACGAACAAAAAAGAAAGTTCCTACTTAGTGCAAAAGTAACATGTATCAAAAATGCGTCGAACATGCGAAAAAATATCGAACCAAAATTGAGCAGAAGTGGAACGAAAAATGCGCAGAAGTGGAACCAAAACTGCGGAAAGGGGGGAACAAAATTGCGCAGAAGTGAAACCAAAATTGCAGAAAGGGGGGACTAAATTGCACAGAAGTGAAACGAAAATTGCGGAAATGGGGGAACAAAATTGCGCAGAAGTGAAACGAAAATTGCGCAGAAGCGGAACGAAAATTGCACACATAAAAATATTAAAATTGCACATAAGATAAATAAATAATGGAGTAAGAACTGACCCGAAGAGCAGAGCAGCGCCGGCAATGCCGCCCCCGAGCTGCGCGAGGACGTACATCGTCGCACGGAGAGGCGACACGCGTCTCAGCACCGCCAGCGAGAGCGTGATGGCAGGGTTGATGTGGCTCCCTGACACCTGCACAACATAATAACATATTTTATATCATACGCTAACATATTTTAGATCACATGAGAACTTTTTTTGACTTGCAGCGAAACACAACAAGACTTGCAGCGAAACACAACACGACTTGCAGCAAAACACAACATGACTTGCAGCGAAACACAACATGACTTGCAGCGGAACACAACATGACTTGCAGCGAAACACAACAAGACTTGCAGCGAAACACAACATGACTTGCAGCGAAACACAACATGACTTGCAGCGGAACACAACATGACTTGCAGCAAAACACAACACGACTTGCAGCAAAACACAACACGACCTGCAGCGAAACGCAAGACTATCTGCTGCGGAACAAAAGACTTGCAGTCTTCAAAAGACTAATACTTCAATAAACAGACCAATACTTCAACAAAAAATGTGAGAAAAAAAGCAGTTTCAAGAGACGAAACCAGAAACAAAACGTGATGACGCAATCATGAGATCAAAGTTAAAAAAAAATTACATTTTTAAAATAAAATAAAATCAGACGAGTAGGTTGTGAAAATAAGATTCTTAAGGAAGCCCCTACAGCGTTTCCAATTAAAAAGGCAACGAGGTGATAAGGCAGATTTTGGCCAACTGCAGCCAAAGGCCAAACTTGGTTCAGAAGCTGTTGGTTCATCACCCAGTCACCACTAAAAAACCAATCAAAAATCCGAAATCATATGGAAACTTACGATAAAATATCTAAAAGAATAAAAACTTAGATCTGGGTACACAGAGAACCGTATGACGTCTAAATGCGGGTCGAAGACCCTGGAGTTGTAGCGACCACGTGTTCATTAGCTGTTTAACAGAATCATAAGATGAATATTGAAATAAAGCTAACCATATGCTTTGCATTGCTTTGAAAGCAAGCTAACCATTTTAAAAGAAGGCTAAGGCAGAATAACAGTAGGTAGGTATTTAAAACGTGGTTACAACATGTAACTACAGTCAATGACTCTAGTCGCCACAGTAATAAGAGTTTATAGAATTTCTGATTTAAAAGATTATTTAAAAATTTATAGAATTTCACTGAAATTTCTGTTAATAATACGACTACTTTGCAATTATGAGGCAAGATCGATGTATGCCTTGAGACGGGTAATGTTTTATTCAATGTCGAAGACGTTGAAAATGCAATGACTAACCGAATACTGAGGATTCTCTCGTGGCTTCGGATTTTAATCTAACGTAAAAATTAATCGTAAACGTGCCGGGGCTCAAAGAATTTGCAAAATTCATCCCGCCGCTGCATTCCAAGGATCAGTCGTTAACCACTTCTGCTTCAGCAGCTTTGAAGACACTCCCACAGATGACGAACACCGAACTTCCGAAGTAGAAAGAAACTTTGAAGCAAATAAATTTTCATGTGCATTTTTTTCGTACATCTTATCAACTATAAGTAATAAGGAAAAATATTATTTTGTGAAACTCTTTCACGAACTTAAGGAAACCCACCTCCTGAAAGCAGTGCACCAGCACGGTCATGGCAAAGCCGGCGACGAGAGATATGACGACGTGCCTATCAGGTCTCGATGGCTGGCCAGCCCAAGGACTGTATGCTCCACACACCAGCAGCACGTAGAATACACAAGCCAAACACTCTGCTATGACAGCACGCCATAATTCTAACGTCCGTACTTCAGCAAACATGCTGCCCATACTCCACCGCACTCGCTGTGCCGGCCTGCCCTCATCACGAACGCCTGCATCCCGCTCTAACTTGGCAAGCAATGCAACGAGATGTTGTTCCAACTCAGTGTTAGGGTTCGTTAATCCCGTCATTTTTCTTTACACTGTGATGAAATAATACTAACGTAATAAAGGGGGAAGACACTCGATAAAGTTCACGAGGAAGGTAAGGCCATCGGATTCAAAATCTTCTTTTATGAGGGTCTACCACTTGCCCGATCGTGACTGCACTTGCCTTGGCAGTTCCTTGGTCTACAAACGCATGGCAACCGCAGCAGTGTCGTAAAAGTAAACAAATAAGATTTTTACAAACTCACGGATGTTTACAACATGTAACTACATGAGCATTAAATTAGTATAACATTATATTCATTGCGATAGTAAGCTTTGTACACTGCTATGTCACTGAATATCGAGACGTTGAAGACACAACAGCAAAATACTCGCACCGAAGCACAGTACACCTCACACTCACACGGATGAAGCACGACTGAGCTGGCTTAGCTGCTTGATCGTCTGTGTCTCTGTGACGGCATGCGGGAGAGATAAAAGCCCGAGGGTGAAATAAGTAATTAGGGTGAAATAAGTAATTCATCTATTATTATGCAATTTTGATGCCCTGAAATGTTTTATCTATTAACTTACCAATTTTATTTTCTTCATTATTACTGGATCTAATCAAGAGTAAAATTGTCCATGATATTCATTAATCATTGAAACCGTTAGTCGTTACTTTGCCTTCATAGTTATAGCTCAATGCACGGGTTCCTTTTATCACGAATGCTTCTTTCTGTTGTAAACACTTTACACAAGGTTAAAAGTGTTTTGAGCGGTTATCAATTTTTATTGATATTAATTAGCATGAGGACAAATGAAGTTCCTAGGCTAAATCCTACTACTGTCAATGAAACAAAGATCCGTGGAAACTGCACTTACCTCTCCGCTCGTCCAGGTTAATTAATTAAAAATATATATTTTCCCTTTTGAAAACCTGCTACATAATTATGTGCTGTGGCGAGGTTAGTTTCAATAACTCGAATATTTTATGTATCTTCGAATTTACATACGGTATTTACATAGCAAACTTTTTTGGTAAGATGCAACAAATGATCAAACCTCCGAGTTATTTTTCCACAAGACGCTCACTAAAACATCCATTTATTGAATCCATTACAGATATAGAAATTCACTAGAATCAAGGGTGAAAAATTCGAAAAATTATTTTAGGTTTGTCGAAGGTAAACAGCGAATACATTGATCAGAAGAGAAGACTTTTTATCACACTTTAGAGGAGGGTAGTGGTAACCTGTTATTTAGATACTTTAACAACGAACTGAATCGCAAATTGATCTACATCAGCCGAAATAAGACAGACTGAATCGTCAGTGGAAATTGATTCCATGCACTCATATTTCTGGACTTAAAGAAGTAGTCGACCTATAATGTAAGCATTGCTCTGCTCGCAAAAATTAACCAAAAAATTACGAATCAAATTCAATTTCACAGGAATTAATTGACTATTATTATCGTAAAATACAATTTCACCGCAGTTATCATTTGAAACTCAAAGACCATCAATAAAATGTAAAGATCGAGAGTACTGATCTTGATCTTGTGTGCGATAGTGTCTTGGTTGATTCGCTCTTTGTGCGCATTACGCAAGTCATCTCTTCGCAGCTGAGCAGACCTCGCGCTCGCGCTGAGTTCTAAGCTGACCCGAACGGGTTCCTAGACAAGAACCCGAGCACAAAGTAAAAAAATCAATACCCAACGTACCAAGTCAATATCTTTTGCATAAATTCACGATTTCACGCATGGAGAAAAGAACCTACTCACTAAGTAGTAAGTACGTAAGTACATACCGCCAGCCAAGAACCCACTCAGTAAGTCAACACCGCCAGCCAAGAACCCACTCACTAAGTCAACACCGCCAGCCAAGAACCCACTCACTAAGTCAACACCGCCAGCCAAGAACCCACTCACTAAGTCAACACTGCCAGCTTGAAATGTTTTACTTATTTATCTACCGATATGATTTTTTTTTCAACATTACTGGAGTTGATCAAAAGTCAAATTGCCAATGACATTCATCAATTTCTATTAAACCGTTATTAGAAACTTTTGCTTGCATTGAGATATGTTTTTTTATATAACTTGTAACGGTGCCTTGTGGCGTGATAAGAGTATAATTCTATATAGCTCACTATTGGTCAATTAGCATTCTGGGCCTATACTATCAAAAAAAGTTAAGAGATCGTAAGTTCATGAGTGATGAGCCAATCATTGCCGGCCTTACAAGCAAAATCCACCAATCATAGGCAAGAAAATAGTGCGTAAGTACTTACGTTCACTTAGCGAGTTTTGAAAGTATGGCCCCAGGTCAGTAAATTGCCGCCGTTCCTGTCTGACCTCGTTCATCCAAGCTTTGTTATCTTTGCAAAATTGGAATTTACCGAGACACACTCACGCATGAGACGCTGACTCGGCATAAACAAACCAAGAATGTCTTGGCCAAGAATCTCGAATCATTCCTTTCTTTCTTCCGGTTATCTCTTGAAAAATCGAGAAAAGAGTAAATTTAAACTATAATAAAACAATATTTTAACTGTTATAAAACCATTTTTCATGCAAGTTGTCGCATATAATATTAACCCGGAAATGTATCGGTATTAAACCTGTTACCAGCTGATGAGAAACTCATGTTGATACAAGCGTTTCTCATCAGTAATGTGATGTTCAAATAATCGTCTTGCAAAATATGTTGAAATATGCTTGATAGCATATTTTAATCCATAAAAAAATCTAATTCTCAACAAACCTCGTCGATGTGCGCATTATATTCATATATTCAACTCAATACACTATCAGTAGCTGGATGGGTTTGCTCAGTAAACTACGAATTAAGAGAAAGTCCAACAAATCTTAATACTTTCTTTCTGCATCAGATAGCTGCGTATGGTCCTATTGCCGGGATCTTCTATGGAATTGCCCCTCTTGCCCATTAAAAGCTTCATTTGTGTGGAATTATCGTAAACAGGGCCTATACTTTCAAAAAAAAAGTTAAGAGATCGTAAGTTCACAGCCAATCATTCACGACCTTTCAAGCAAAATCCACCAATCATAGACAAGAAAATAGAGCGTAAGTACTTACGTTCACTTAGCCAGTTTTGAAAGTCAGTATACGAATTGTCTGAATGCAGCGACACACGATTTGGAGATGTAGCTCTCGATATTATGTTGTAGTCTCGTTTTCAGCTTTAGGCGAGCATTCAAACAAAGTAAAGGGATGCTCGACTCTAACCACACAATCTTCACTTCACTACGCAAGCTGACTAATTGATTCTCAATAAAATTGCACGACGTTACACAATGGAAGGGAGGAACCATATTAAGTTTACGCATTGCAAGGAGCGACCTCTATACTTAGTTACTTACAAGGAAACCAGTTACATGAATAAGCTTTTATGGAATATCATTCTCGAGTTTTGGCTTGTTATCTAAAAAAATACAATTAGCTAATGCTACGTACAAGTTAAATATGTGGCTTATAAGCCAAAATTATTATTTAGAGTAACTAAATACAATTTACCAATTTTGTTTTTACCTCTCACAAACGTTTTCACATCATATGGACTCTGATATGAAAATTGTTCATAAAACATTGTTCGTTAAGAGTTTAAGAGACGCGTGGTTAAACTGGTTCGGTCTGTCGAGTAAGAGGGAATATCATACGTCATTTATAAGAATTCTGCAACGATCACATGATTAGACATTATTATAGTTCATTTATGATCTATGTTTCTCTTCAACTGCATAAATGAGATGTGAAAAGTTCTTCGAATAAATAGAAGGCTGGTAACGGCAGAGCAAAATCTAGGTACATTATGCATTATTTTGGTCAACGATTTTCTTATCAGCAGAGAACTTCTTAGGATATAAGTATGAAGTACCTAGATAAAACGGTACTTTATATTTCAAATTCATATATTTTTTGGTATCATATTCAACCATCTGTAACTTACTAAGAACAACGGATTGTACACAGAATATATATTATTCAAGATTTTAAGGTTGAATGGTATGGCTGAGTAAGCCTTTGACAAATACCGCGCACTATCATTCAAACATAATTGAAAACAACTATGACCAATAAATAACTTTTCAGATGAGATTTATAAGAAATACGTGAGAACATAATAAAATAGCAGCAGAGGAAGCAAGCTGTAGAAAGTTTACTGTAAGCCAAAATGGCCAAGAACAGTAGAAGTTTAAATTGTGCTCATTGAGGCTCGAAGGATTACAAAAATTATCGGTGTAGTTAAGATAAAAACCGCTACTGTCATAGTTGCGTTTTCCTTTATGTTCGGACGGACATAGGCATCAGGGGTTTCATTCGGGGCAACTTGAGAAACAAGTTTTTATTAATTTGTCACCATAAAAGCCCACATACTACGATAATTTGATGCAAGATCGTTGACTGCGATGAGCCAAGCACGATCAAATGAAGATGATCAAACGAAAGAGTCGGAAGAAATCAGATGTTCGAGTTCACGAACATTAAACACCGACTGTTGTTAGCTATGTTTACAGACAACAGAAAGCATTAGCTGTTGTTAACCATGTTTACAGACAATAGAAGACATCAGCTGTTGTTAGCCATGTTTACAGACAACAGAAGACATTTGCTGTTGTTGGCCATGTTTACAAACAAGAGAAAGCATTTGCTGCTGTTAGAAATGTTTACAGACAACAGAAAGCATTAGCTGTTGTTAACCATGTTCATAGACAACAGAAGACATTAGCTGTTGTTAACCACGTTTACAGACATCAGTTGTTTTGAGTGGTGACATCAGACAACACGAGACAACAATCAACGCAGGCAGGTGTCGAAGTAGAGGCTGCGCAGAGTAGCCGCTACCGCCGCCCCCAGAGGTCGGCCGCTGCGTGTCGCCTTCAGGGCGCCGAGTTTCTCGATGCCTTCCTCTGAGCTGAGCAGCGACAGCAGAGCTTGCAGGGTCGGTGCCTGTACGGCCAAATTTTTGACTTGAATACAAAATAAATTCTCTACTCGATCGACACGTAAATGTGATTCTGATTCCATCTTCGTCAGACTGCATAATTTTGCAACGTTACAATCGAACCTAATGTAGGTACATTTGTGCCTATGGAGTGCGACAGGAGTTAAAAATGCAAATAGAATTATTGAAAAATGAAAAGTAACTGCTAAAATAACTTGGAACAAGTAACAAAAAAATTTATGAAGAGAGGAGCCAACTTTTCCTCACTGTGAGGGCGTATATCATGAACAAGAGAAATTTTGCAATTTTGCACGAAAAATCGCGGTGTTGCAGTATTGATTAAAATAAACTACAGGTATTATTATTTCAGAATAATAGGTTCCATATATTGAGTTCCCTTAAATTGTGCGCTAAATTTCAAAAAAGTCGAATGATTAATAAAAACTGTAAATAAATTCATTGGTTTATTCAATTATTAATTATTGTATAACATCTATTGAGGAAAAAAAAATTGAGGACTTGGATAAAGCCTGCCTCACACAGACCTTGCAAAAAGCTCAACTCATAACCCACATAACCAAACCCATGCAAACAATACAATTAGCTAATGCTACGTACAAGTTAAATATGTGGCTTATAAGCCAAAATCATTTAGAGTAACTAAATACAAATTTAAAATTTCGTTTTTACCAATTATTTCGAGTTTTTATCAATTCCGCAGCGAAATACCGCGCCATCTTCAGCCCTCATTTCTCGATTTCGCAGCGAAATACCGCGCAATATCAAACCCTCAAGTCATACCTCGTTGACGATAGCGGTGACTTTCTGAACGCTGAGACCAGCCACCTGCAAGAGATGCTTGGCCAGCATCTCGCGCACGACCAGTTGCCTGTTCTTCACGAGGCCCTTGTTGAACGTGGAGAACTCCAGCAGGTCGCAGCAGCCGACTGGACACGGTGTCGGCAGCTTACCGCCTTTCAGCGCACGCACAGACAGACCCTGTAGCAAAAATATGTAATCAGATAAAGAAAACTTATGACAAATCTGCCGTAAACTTAGCTCAAAATGTGTTTCCACTCACGATTAGAAAACGGTGAATAGGTCATTATCGCTAACTTGTTCGAGACTAGCTTTCGAATTTTACTGCAGTTGCATGTGAAAAACTTATATCGAGATGATACTTAATACAATCAAATCAAAGGCACAGATTATTCAGTTAATAACACGCCATTCAATTATCCATATAGTCTGTTCCTTCACGCCAGAGTGCAACTTTTTTACAAATTAATACCTTGAAAAGAAATTAATAATAAATAATACCTAATAATAAAAGAAATTAATAACTTGAAAAGAGGTATTTAAGTGCGAGATGGAGATTAGTAGCAAAAAAATTTAAGTTCAATCAGCAGCAGGCTGCTTGATACGCTGGACTTGAAGGTCATGGCTTCGATAAAAGTTACCATTAATTTTACAAGCGAAGTACAATATCCAGTTACTAATAAAATAGTAAATCATTATGTGTTAATTGGAACATTGGAATTAGAAAAAAACTTGTAATTTTGAGGGCTATAAATGGGTCATGATGAAAGTTCTCAAGAAATAAAAACTTGTATATAAGACTTGGACATTTCTTGACAGTTTGGAAAAAATACGAGTAATTTCGAAAAGTTACTGCCGAACGATAGAAGAGTCAAAGAAAGGTCGTCTGCAGAGAAAACAAACCAACCGAGCAGCCAGGAAATTGGGCCTCTAGGATCCAGAGTGGCAGGCTGAGCCTCTAGATATATTCCGAGCAATGTTATAATTAGCAAAAAGCAATTCTACTCGCAGCTGCGTTGGCAAGAGTTACGAACATATTATAGTGATAATCGAGTATTGATGACGAAATAATACAGATAAAGTATATCGTTATTTAGAACAGACTTTGGCAAGGAAGAGTACAAAAAAGTAGCTAAGAACTCCGAGTATTTAATAGTACTAAATTGGTTGGCTAAATTTTTACTTTTCCCAACCACAACTGCCAGACAATCAGGACAATATTTGGCAATTGTGGACTCAGAACAAAACTCAGTAGCAAGGGCGCTGCGTCTAATGACATAAAATAATTTATTTATTATATCGACCTACTCTGAGGGATGGCCGAGCGGTTAAAAGCAGCAGGATAGGTTGTAAAAATACTAGTCGAAATCGGCGAGGTGGCAGGGAGCTTACGCACAGCCAGATTTTGAGCCATGAGCAGCGTGACCGAGACCAGTAACAAGCCGTGAAGATTCTGCATTGTTCAGAATCGGAGACAGGCCTGACGTTCTAATATTTAAAGCTGACACGGGCCTACATTATATGATTATATATATTGTAAGTTACCTGATAAGTAGACTGCAATATTCTGGTCAGTAGTGTGAGGTATCCGGCGCCTACATTATATCATTATATTGTAAGTTACCTGATAAGTTGACTGCAGTATTCTGGTCAGTAGTTGTGAGGTATCCAGCGCCTACATTATATCATTATATTGTAAGTTACCTGATAAGTTGACTGCAGTATTCTGGTCAGTAGTGTGAGGTATCCGGCGCTTTCCTTATAATCTGCCGTCCATTTCACGAGGAGTCCATCGACTACGTTGGTGTTAGCGACGGCCTGATGACACGTTGAGAGAGGCAGCCTGGGGCAATAAATAATTTAATAAAATGTCATCATAAAATATAAATAATTACAAGTTTGGAACGCCATCAGCCACTGACGGCTTTCCAAACTAAACCCACCATTTGCAGGTGAGAAACTGGACGATACATCTACTTGGGGTGCTACGTGTACCTATGTTACCATGAGTTTCTAGGCAATTCGGTACGTGTAAGAGGACATCGCAAAATATAGAAACATTCAAGGACAAAATATCACTTATTCCTCAAATATTTATAGAGATGCAAAAGAAGTGATGTATTGGTTCTAAAATAAAACAGCATGTCATGACTATTGCATCTCTATGAATCAAATATTCATAAAGATACAATAGAAGTATTGTATTGGTTCACAACTTCAGCTTCCACTTACGATAGATTAGCTTCAAAGGTACAAATCTTGCTATTCATAGAGGAACGAAATTTGTTTTCCCTAGCAGCTTCGTGACAACACATCTCAGTAATAACGTCTGAACATAGTTATCACGACATAATTGCAACAGTTTAAAAATTAGATGCCTGACAAATTTTAATTTTTAGCGCATTTTCTCATTTATGGAAAAAATGCACAATTGTGCTCGCCATGTCCGTCTGTCCGTGACCTCAAGTTTTCGTCGACGAGAAAATGCGCTCTCTGTCACTCACGTNAGAGACAGATTGTGCTCGCCATGTCCGTCTGTCCGTGACCTCAAGTTTTCGTCGACGAGAAAATGCGCTCTCTGTCACTCACTGCAGTGAGTACTGAGTTATATTTTTTATGCAATACGGAACTAGAACGTACCCAGCTCTGTGTTGGCCGGCAGTCTCGACGAGGTAGATGGCCGTGTAGTTATCATAACATAATGGAAACAATAAGATGCATGAAAAATCTTATATTTTTTATGCAATACGGAACTAGAACGTACCCAGCTCTGTGTTGGCCGGCAGTCTCGACGAGGTAGATGGCCGTGTCGATGCCACACTGCAGCAGGCGGTGCTTCTGTTCCCTGCAGCGGCCGTCCTTGATGCTGCTCGCGAGATCGTCCATGCGCTTGCGCTCTACAATGCACGGCAACATTACCTCCCGCACAGTCTGAGGAGAACCACCAAGACTTCACAAACAAGATTTTGGTAGACAGAAAAATTATTAAGATATTAAAAAAAGGTCTTTTTATCCTGTTACGAAAGTTCTAGACGGCTCCGTCAATTATCAAGATATTTAAAGAAAGTCTTTTTTAGGATCGCACAAAAGTTCTAGACGACTCCGTCCACGACCACACTGGTGAGCTACCTTACATTAAAAAAGCTGAGCTACATCACAAGAAAAAACTGACTTGAAGAAAAATTAACGATTGACAAAACATTTTAGTGAAAACAATTATTTGAATAATCTAATTGAGTAAGAAATCTCAAATGTACCTTGCCCTCCGGCGTGTTCTCTCGCGCGACCCACGCAAAGTCACCGACGTGAAGCTTTCTGACGTCATACAGCACCCCGTGCTGAGTGAGCTCCTTCACGATGCCAGCTTTGCTACTCCTGTCAACAAACTTTTCATTGAAATAAGCATTTACAAACTTCGTGCTTATTATGTTAGCAGTATGGATTAAATAATTACAACTTGTAAAGAGATTTATTTTTCTATCAACGTTACCAAACTTTCCACAGTAGAAAATGAACCAGAAAAAAACTTTCCCAGTACAAAAAGATATAAATAAAAAATTGTTTAAGCTAACACTCGATGAATAATAAAATCAAATTTTTCAACACTGAAAATACAAGATGTCACACACAAATAATTTCAGCTACTGCAGAAAGGAAACGTATTTTTACAACACTTCTCTTTAACTTCTTCGTTGTTCGTTTGTCTGCTACAAATCTTATAATCAATATTTACCACACTGTCCAATCGGTCTGAAATTTTGTACACTTGCATAAAGTCGGAGGCAATGCATTAATCAATTGACAGAATAAATAATTGCGAAAATTTAAAATTTTTCATATATTAACATGAAAAAATAAAATATTTATTTTTTTATGTATGGAAATAAAATTAGAAATTCATTCTTAGAGGTGTAACATCGGAGACACTGAATTCTTTGGAAGTGTTGTCTTTAAAAAGTAAAAAAGAAATATTTTTTAAAGTAATTTTTAAACGCATATTATATGCATCAAGTTGCAGAAACAGACGTGCCTTGTTACAAACTCAGGACTCACTTGCTTGTAGTTTCAGCGCAGTCAACGCACAAGACGATGTCGTAGCTCCCAGGCAACAATGTGAACTGGATCGTAATTTTTAAACGAATATTATATGCATCAAGTTTAATTTTTTTAAAGGAATTTTTAAACGAATATTATATGCATCAAGTCGCAGAAACAGACCTGCATTGTTACAAACTCAGGACTCACTTGCTTGTAGTTTCAGCGCAGTCGACGCACAAGACGATGTCGTAGCTCCCAGGCAACAATGTGAACTGGATCGTGTCAGTAGACAGCTGGTCGTCGTGTTCTGTATAGCAGAATAATTCATTTAAAAAAAGTTGTTCAAATGAGCGCAACAGCAAGAATTATAAAAAAACGGGTGTATAACTGAAGAATACATAAGGATTTGAAGAGATGCTTCCAGGTAACTGGAGTAAATACTGGAGTAAATAATAATAATGCAACTGGAGTAAATACCAAGGCAGTTTTAGTGATTTATAAGCATAAACAACTGATCCATGTCTGATCCATCCAAGATCCATGTAAGTAGCTAATGTAGGAACATGGGGATTACTTGTAAGAAGATTACGAACTGCATGCTGATATAAGTACCTAGTGGTTGTTTGCATGTGATCACTTCTGAAAGTTTTTTTTTGTGTTAATTCTTGTATGCAGCATTGACCAAGCAATTATTAATTATAAATATTCTTGGATTTTTGTTCCATTGTCAAATGAAGCAGTGAAGAGAATAATAAAAAAAAGGTGGAAAAAAGTTTGCTCCCTTGCTGACAATTTAATTGTTCAAGAAGAATAGCAAAAATTTTTCAACTTCAGAAAAAAAGCTTCCTGATGAAGCTGAATATGAATATATCATTACCAATGCCAACACACGGCATCCTATTTCCAGATGTATGTTATATTAAGTCTATTTGCACAGTAGTATTTGCCTGATATTTGGTGCATATGGACGCTCAGGACTGAAACATCAATTAGTTCAGAATTGATTATTCAGAGTACAACCTTGTTGAGAAACAATACATTGTATCAGAATTTGACACAGCGCTTCATTGATGATGTCAGAATTAATTAATGATATAATCTGGCACCCACATCAAAACTGGTTGATATTATTGAAACAATTAGTTCTATTTTCTACCATATATCATATATGCGATCATATATCATCCATGCTATCATACATCATATATGCTATATATTATAGTTTCTATCACATATGCCCTCATACATTGTATACACACAATTTCTTAATCATTTTCTGACGCCAACCTGAATCACATGCTTCTGGAGAAATTCCATCCACTGGCAGCATAGGAACAGGCTCAATTGAAGGGGAAGTTAATGATTTCTTAGATTTTCTGACTTTCTCAGTTACTGGCTTCCTAGGACGATTTTGACGCTTCAACGCCACTGATTCAGAGCCTGCAGAGTTTGTGGGAACTGAAGCAGCTTGGCGTGCAGATCTCTTGGTTTTCTTAGGACGAGGAGCAGATGCTGAAGGAACACGTGGAGATTCAGTGGCAATGCACACCTTAACTTTCCCTCTCTGAGCCTGCAACCAATATAAAATGCATCAGGAATAACATCCACATGTTATGAATAGAGCTGAGTGATTTGAGGCTCATTTTGTAACTCCATTGTGAAAGAAAACTCCGAGACTGGGTATCATTTTAGAACTATGTACACAGAGACACAAAATATAGAGTCAATTATCAAAACAAATTTAGGCGGGGAATGATTCTGTGGCAGCAACAAGTCGAAATATTACAATATAACTTCCACTTGCTCACACATTTGCCCAATTTTACAAAATACAGCATAGTATTCTTATTCTTATATTCTTATTTCCATTCATACATAATTTACTGCCCTTTCAGAAAAAGTTAGAAGTAATAGTGTTATGAACCTGCTTATTAAGATGGGGAAACTGACTGTGGTTTAAAGGAAAAGAATTATCTGCAGTTTAATTGATTCAAACAACAATCCACAGTTACACAAAAGGCTGCTACAGACTTGCTGAGGCAAGACTTCATATCAATTTCAGGACATTGCATGAACATGAGGCAATAAACCTGAATTAGGTCCATTCAATTTTATGCAAAGAATATAGACCTTTGGTCAAAAATACTGAAGCTGGTATCATAACATGACAACATTTCATGACCCGTAGGTACTTCAAAGATGAATATGGTGATGTACTAATTATTGAAAAGCTGGTTAAATAAAAATAATACAAGATCTCACAGTGATGTGCTTGTCCCAGTCAATTGTGCCATGCTCCAGCTCATAACTGGCAATTTTCTTATCTATCATATTGCAGAGCTTGTCTCCAAAATAGTGCAAGACCTTGCAGTCTGCCCCGCAATACACGGGCAAGGGAAACTTCTGCAGAGACTTCCGAGCCTGAGAAATATGGCACAAAAATAACACATTGAAATTACATTAACATTAATAAATTATTCAATTTATTCAGAACAAGAACATTAATCTATACAATTTTCTTTTGGTTACATAATTTTCAAGCTGGCTACAACAGAATGAGATTTTATTTGACTATGAATAAAAAAATTCTTCTGTTAGAATATTAGGTTCTATTTAAATCAGGGTTGGCAATGATTAAATCAAACTGATTAAATCATGTGATTAAATCATGTGATTTTTTATAAAAAATCATGAATTTTTTATTTTAGTACCATATATATTCAAATATATTGAGTGGCAGTCTTTAATTTATTTTGAGGTAGGTATTCTTATTCATGGTTTAGTATAAATGTATTATAACAAATTTGAATATTAACCTGTTGCCTTTAGTGTGTAGGTATTGCAATATTGCATTCCAATGAATTGTATGTTTTTGGTACAGAGGCATAAGTGTTGCAACACATTGTACATAGCTAGCAGCTTAGCTAATTCTTATAAGTAAGTAAGTAGTAGAATGGTTTACTAGAGCTTCAGCTATCAAGCTATTTTGCACCGCTAATTCTTATAAGGCTATAAGTAGTCTTTAACTAACTAATTGACTATTTTTTATATATTAATTACTACATTATACAATTCACATGTGTTAGCTAGCTTACATAAGAAGGATTGGTTGAGATTGTATTGACCTTTTAGGCATTTAGAAAGATTTTCCCCTTAACATGAGTATTCTAATTACAACATTTAATTTCAATCTTTAAATATGTGAATTTATAACTAGCAACAAAACAATTACAATTATAAAACTATATATAAAATAATTAAATGCAGAGAATGGAAATAAAATGTTTAAATTGCATACATGTTTATTTCAAACAGTGTTAGCTTTACTCATAAGTCTCGTTTCAAGTCGTTTGAGGTTTGTTTGGTTATTGTTCAGTTAATGTTTAGTATTGGTTCATTGATCTGAATCAAATGGGAACAGTGTAGTCTGTCACTTAGTCACTACTAGTCGGTGTGTTAGAGGGTAGAGTCTAGTAGATTTATAGGACATAAAACTAGTAGATCTATTGATAGTATTTTGCACTGTTGACTGTGCTATCAGCTACCTATCTGTTATGCGACTCTTCAATGTTTAGAAGATCTGCATTCCTGAAGTGTTGTTGTATAGTGATGCCAGTTAAATGGTCAATATCTAGCTCGTTATCTTTAGCTCGTTATCTTGCTCCATACAAAATTTACAAAGCTAATGAATATACTTATCAATAATTGTTTACCCAAAAGTCCCAAAGTGGTAAACACCACCTCAGCCATTCTTGGAGGCAAAAACAGTCATTTTCAGCCATACATATACCTACTGTTATTGTTAGTAGGCTAATTGCAATATAAAAAAATAACATTTCAAATAGGCAAAAAAGCTAGAAAAAAATTAAAAAATCATTTATTTTTTATTTTTTTTTTTAATTACAAAAAATCATCCACCTTGATTTAAAATATATTGATGAGGACTCAATGAGATATTCGTCAGAATAACTTTTAGGAATAAGAACTTAGTCAAGAAAGATTAATGCATTTGACATTTGACTACTTGTAACATTTAATTTATATGAAATCTTAAGTATTTATTAGTTTCATCCAAACAAATGTCACAAACTAGAATTCCCCAATTTTTCTCTAAAGATAATATATATATGTACCTTGGCAAATATGTACTGCAAATTAGAGTCTGCTTGTCGGGCCTGGTCTTGCCATTCTCGGAGCCACTCATCAAACAGAGGGTTGGCATGACGATACCTGTAGCGGAGGGAACAGTTAAAATGTGCAAACTACTTCAGAGTTTTATTTCAGGGTGCATGATTATTGCTCTTTCAGAGTATTCAGGGCAATATTGTCTACACTGATCCTTTACAGGGCAACGTTCTTTAACATCACAATAAAACCATTAAAATTATCCAGAAAATTCCAAGCTTCTAGTAAACATACAATGATACATGGAAACTAACAAGTAACAACTGAGCAATCCAAGTTGTTGCCAATCAGCAGGAATATCTCAAGTATTTGGTAATGTTAACATAGTACCATAAAATGGGGTAACTTTGACCATTTTTTTTTCAAAATGATGCAATTTTTTTTACTAGATAAGTTAAACTTAAATTGAAACATGCAAAATACAGGTCTATACTCTAGCTTCACTCACCATAAATTGCTGGCTTCTGCCTCTCATAGTTTTGATGTAATTTAAAAAAAAATCAATGGTCTTTTTTATCCCAGCTCTGGGGGTTTCTTTGACCAGGAGGTAAAATCAATTTTATTTTTTGGTAAAATAACTCCAAATAACTCCAGGTTTTGGTGCATTGTAGTAGAACTCTTCTAGTTACATATGCAATTGACAAATTTTAGGAAAGTGTCATAGTTTGTAAATTGAGGGCGCCGCCCACCAATGGGCAAAATGTGACCATCTAATGGCAGCCGTGATGGGGTAACATTGACCGGCTAGGAAATTAAATTAAAATTACCGCATAAAAGAATCTTTAGAGTCAAACAAAAAAAAAAAAAAAAACATTAATATGTGTATCAAGCATGAAATATGTTAAATAGGTACATACCTATGGCAATTTTAACTTAATTTGCAAGCCGGTCAATGTAACCCCGTCACGGCTGCCATTAGGTGGTCAGAGCTCCTCCATTGGGGGGCGGCGCCCCCCCCCCATTTGCACACTATCACAATTTCCTAAAATTTATCATTTGCATATGTAACTAGGACTAGGAGAGTTCATTACAATGCATCAAAACCTGGAGTTATTTTACCAAAAAATTAAAAAATTGGAGGGGGTACTCTGACAGGCTTTAAATAATAGCTCTTTTTTGTGGGTCACATTTTCAATTTTTTAACCTATTAGATATGCAAACTTTTAAAATCTTTCTATTGTGTTATGTAGCCGCAGTATTAGGCCTTTAATGGCCATTGACGAAATTTTTCTATGTCAAATAGTTTTTGAGTTTTGGGGGTTCTTGTAAAAAAATGAAAAGTGGTCAAAGTTACTCCGGGAGTCAAAGTAACCCCATTTTACGGTAATATATTTGAGTTATCACAGTGATGAGACACAGTCAAGTAGCCTATCCTTAGCCTTAGGAAATTCATTCAGAGTACGGTATTAGCTTAAGCTACAATATTACACTATACTATCTTTATCTGCAGGTACAATCTGCATGATCCATTGCCATTGGCATGGGCGATTTGGCTCTAAGAAGCTTGTTTGCGTGGGAAAATTTCCCTATGTTTTTTGAGCAAGAAGCCAAGAATTTAGGTGCCTGTTACAATTAAAAACTTTTTTAATCATTCTTTAAATGCCAAAGTAACAAGCTAGAAAATTAAGCAAAAAATACCTATAAAAATGGTCATGTTTGGAGTCTGAGATGATTATAAATATAAACATAGGCTACTTGTAGATTGGCTGGGGGCCCTGTAACATAAGTTTGTGAATATTAAAAAAAAAAAAACACATTGTTGCTTGAAATTTTCAAAGTAGCTATGGTATCATACTTAAACCCATTTTCCATGTAGGCTACCGGTAGTACAAATACAATTCTTTAAAATTTATGTTCACAGTTTCAGCCTATTCCACATTGGATAAAACCAAAAATTTATAATCAATAAGACTTGAAAATGCTTAATGAAATTTTAAAATAAATGCTTAACAAATCTCATAGGCCTTATACAATTTTAGAACATAACATTAACAAAAATTATATTTAGGGTTATCAGGGGCAAAATTCCCAATCCCAAAATATCTTACAAATATCAGCCATATCACACATTACACACAAGTTTTAAAAATCCACTTTAAATTGACTAAGTCACATGCCATAAATTGATAAAAGATTAGAATTATTAGAAAGCAACAAGTTTTTAACGAGCTTGCAGTGCAGCAGTTGTGAGTTGAACTTGAACAGAAGAACTTCCAACTTCAAAAGTTCCAATAGCCTAGGTACCTATATGTATTGATAGTAAAGAATTTTTGAATATAGCTATTTCATTTACAAAAAGAATGATGAAATAAAATAAGAGAATATTAAACATATTTGTTAGATTGTTACACTATCGTTTTCAATTGCATAGGCAGAACATTTGTAATGATTGAAATCAATTGAGTTATTTGACTCCTACCTCACAGTTTGCCTTTTCACTCTTTTGGCTAATCTCGTCTTCGCTTGATTTTCTTGTTGATCCATAGTCGATTTTTCATTGAAATGAGAAATTTTCTTTAATTAACATCCATGTTTTACGCCTATCCAGACAACTTGAGACAAGTCTTACTCTTACATTTACACGGCAATGTCGGCATTCGATTTGGTAAACTTTTCAAATTTGCCGCTGCAAGCCTTGACAATTTGACATGAGTTTGTAAATTGTGGTCATTTCAAAGGGGCCAACAGATATCTGAGAATATGTCTGAAGCCTGTAGTGTAAACATGTACTATTCAGAAGTCACTGCTATACGCAATAGTCTTCGTTGAAAGTTTTGTATTATATCATAATTTCTTCCTATAATTAATAATAAAGAGACGTCTTTTCGATTCTTGGTATTCCTGAAATCAGGAACTAAGTGCGCCCCTTCCCACACGCAGCTGTCATTAGTAGTACATGTTAAGCTGTCGCTGATTCTAAACATGGCATAACATCCAAAGCTTGTTGCGGGTCTCGAACATGCGTCTCAGTGCTCCACTTTTTTGTCGTTTCTCCGCCCGACCTCAACGCCGATTTGACCAGAAATTTCGCACGAAGCTGTGATCGAACCCATAGTTCGCTGCTCGAATTCTAATACTGTGAACTGCTACCACTGGGCCATCCCACCCTCAATCTCTTCAATTGCTCACTTAACGCTGGTGGTAAATTATCAGTAAAGTGTTTCCTAAATAGTAGCAAGGCAATTTATGAATTTATACGTTACCTGTATCCAAGTTTGTTGTTGCGTATTGTGTGGCACAAATTGAGAATCATCATCTCGTTGTGCTTTCACCTTTCCCTTTCAACAAAACTATTGACTCGGTAATTTTCTATAGATATGTTTGTTTATTTTGTTATATTTGATTAATGGTACGACTAAAATGGCCGTGCAACAACTTCTCAGTATCCATAGGCTAGACTCATCGGCTAGAGTGCCTATACGCTAGAGTACCCATAGCATATGCATTAGTAATTTGTTTATATATGATTCACGATTTAATTAAATTTGTAATATGAATCAAGTCGTTATTTAAATGTGTTCCTTGTATGGATTTATATATTTTTTAAGAAACCGGTATATGAGTAATAAATCTCGAAACCGTTTTTTCAATGCATTACCTCACGAATCTCGAGTCTAATGAATCAACCCGAATTCCTTACCAAGAATCAAGGAAAAGTTACTGAATATATTATTATAATCTTAAACTGAACACAAGCGAAATCCGCTTGTCAACACGATCAACCGATAGGAGACTTTAATATATAATAAATTAGAATATACAAAAATTTATTATGCTCATTACTTTAATCCTGAACTGAATACAAACGATATCTTCTAGTTAACGCGATCAAACGATAGGAGACTTATATTTATTATATTCTAGAATATATAAAAAATTACTTGGCATATTACTATAGTCTTGAACTGAACACAAGCAATTTCTGCTTATGAACACGATCAAACGATAGGAGACTTACATATATTATACCTTTGAATATAAACATAGTTACTGAGCTTATTACTATAATCTTAAACTGAACACAAGCGATATCTTCTAGTTAACGCGATCAAACAATAGGATTATGCCCTAGAATAAAATGTATAAAACAATTTTTTAAAGACCACGTTTTTCATGTGGACTCAAAAGTAGACAATAATTTTTCGGCAGCTGCTGATCTCTGTTTGCTTTCATTCTCTTGGTCTTTTGTATTTCAGTTAAAATATTTTACAACATCTAAAACGAAAAACGTGGGGCGCATATGTATTTAATTGTTTGGTGATTACTTGATATGATGAATATGATGGTTCATTGAACATTTGATAAGTGTATAGCTGATATAATTTGAAATAGTGGTTGAATTCAAATTGAAATTAAGGCATGCCTAAATGAAGATGTGCCCCACGTTTTTCGTTTTAGATGTTGTAAAATATTTTAACTGAAATACAAAAGACCAAGAGAATGAAAGCAAACAGAGATCAGCAGCTGCCGAAAAATTATTGTCTACTTTTGAGTCCACATGAAAAACGTGGTCTTTAAAAAATTGTTTTATACATTTTATTTTCTACTTTTTAGTTTTTAAGTATTTAATTTTCTCCTTTTTAGTCCATTGCTACACATGAAAAATGTTGTTTCGAGCCAATTTACTTGACTCGACGTACGTATCGATGATACAAAGCGTATCATCGATATACGCAGTCTAAACACGAATATCCTCTTAAGGATGACGTGCATTAAAGGTTCCCAACCCCTGCTTGTGAGTTCCTTAAGAGTTTATAACTACTGCTAAAAGGTCAACCATCCTACATAATATTCATTTCATTTCAGTTGGCCACGCATATGCACAAAAGAAAATTCTTTTCAAAGTTCTGTAGAAAATTGTATTCGAGGAGATACATTGTTGTTCCTGTTTTTATCTGGGTGCGTGGCTGTAATAAAAGAAAGGTTTGGTAATATATACGCCTGGAAACGTGCAACAAATCATTGATTATTGTATTGTTATTGGTAGCTGAGCTTCCCTAAAAGTTTCAGAGTGCTAGCTAGCGGGAAAGTTGGTGAAATATCGATTGCAAGATTTGATCATCACAGACAGACACGAAAGCGAGCTAAGAAAAACGTGGTAATAAATAAGAATTAACTAGTCATATAACTATAGTCTTGAACTGAACACAAGCAATTTCTGCTTGTGAACACGATCAAACGATGGGAGACTTACATATATTATACCCTAAAACGAATAAGAAAATTACTGCGTATATTACTATGGCCTTGAACACAAGCAATTTCTGCTTGTGAACACGATTAAACGACAGGAGACGTTAATATATTATATCTTAGAATATAAAACATGATACTGAGCTTATTACTATAATCTTAAACTGAACACAAGCGATATTGCTTGTGAACACGATCAAACGTTAGGAGACTTAAATATATTGTACCCAAGAATAAACAAAACGTTACTGAGCATATTACTATAGTCTTAAACTGAACAAAATAAATTTCTGCTTGTGAACACGATCAAACGATAGGAGGCTTAAATATATTATACATTAGAAGATACAAACATTTACTGAGCATATTACTATAATCTTAAACTGAACACAAGCAAACGATATCCGCTCGTCAACACGATCAACCGATAGGAGACTTTAATATCTTATACTTTTGAATATACAAAAATTTATTGTGCACATGACTTCAACCTTGAACTGAAGACAAGCGATATCTGCTAGTTAACGCGATCAAACGATAGTCGACATAAATATTTTATATCCTAGAATAAATAAAAAATGACTGGGCATATTATTATAGTCTTGAACTGAACACAAGCAATTACTGCTTGTGAACACGATTAAACAACCATAGGAGACTTAAATATATTATAACTTAGAATATAAAAAAAGTTACTGAGCTTATTACAATAACCTTAAACTGAACACAAGCGATATCTTCTAGTTAACATGTTCAATCGATAGGAGACTTAAACATATTATACTTATAATTTAAAAATCTACTGAGCTTATTACTATAATCCTAAACTGAACACAAGCGATATCTTCTAGTAAATGCGATCGAACGATAGGAAACTTAACTTTATTATACCCTAATAAAAAAATTACTAAGTATATTACTATAGTCTAGAACTGAACACAAGCAATTTCNCATCTGAGATATTCTGAGATCTAGTTTTTGTGTGAGAGAACAGACTCTACACCCTGTCTCTTATACACATCTAGATGTGTATAAGAGACAGCCCTACCTCAGACAGATAAAGGTTGAACACGAATGTGTATATCACGAATAAAACTCAATTTAATAAACCGATATATATTTTAGCAGTTTTAATTTTTCCTGTAACTTAGAATGTTAAATATATTGTCAAAAATTTACACTAGAAATCCAAGAGAGCCTAAAAAGCCCAGATCTGGATGGAAAAACCCATCGCTGGGAGCCGTGTGATGCTCGCGTTGTGAACTAATCGTTACGCGAACGTTCGAACTTCTGACTTCGACTTCGGACTGCCGTCCCCTGCCGCCCCCTCCTTCCTCACCGCCCCCAGGGGGGCGGAACCGCCAACTTTTGGGAACCACTACGCTAGAGTGCCCATACTATAGAGTCATACGCTAAAGTATGGGTACTCTAGCGACATGATGCAGTAGCTCATTATTGATGCTGTAGCTGATGTTAGAAGCAGTTCTTGAGCGGTTACTTACAGATGTTGTAGCTTAATGTTATCCTGTGTAGGTATATACATATAACGTAGGTCTACGTAGGTAATTTTCGTGCAGAAAAAGTTATCTTGTCATGTCTTTAATATATGCTAATAAACTTGTAGTATATGTTAAGTAACATGTTTATGTCATTTCGACTATCTTTTTAGGCTGATACGATACTTAGAATGGGGTACCAGACATAAATACAGATATTCGAAATGAAAGTGGATGTATAATTTTATAGTAGATATTAATTTTTTATTTATAATATTCTAATTAAAAATAAACACCACACCATCCATTACTGTGCCAATTGCTGCGGTCAATTACGACAATAATGTATATTTTAAATAATTTTTGTGTATCCATATGATTAGTTGTGAGCTGGACATTATTTCATCACTATCATTTTTCAGCGACAGATGTCCAACCATTTAAATTATACCAAAGAAGGACACCCCATGACTGCCGTAATCGTTTCCGCGAGGATTCTGTTATCTAATGCAAAATTTGAACATTTTATCTCTCCTGACTTAATCCATCTAGACTTCCTGACGAATTTCATTTCCTGTGGTTGAAATGACTATCAACTTGCAGATAATATTAATCTGCCATGAAACAGCCAACTCATCCCCTGACAAACCCCTTTTCAGGGCCGACGCTGCGACGCCCAGCTTCGAGTTCAAGCTTGTTCACTTTGTTGTCCACCCTTACATGACACAATAACTATGTTACTTACGTCACATTGTCAAAATTTATACGTATTATTTAATCGTACAATGTAGTAGCATTTTAACCCCTCTCTTCCCGTTAAATAAGAAACATCAGTGAATTACTCCCTATGGGATAATTTACCTTAGTCTGGGAAACATTGCAGTAGAGTTCTTAATGTCTCTCTTGTCCCATGTAGTACAATCTGCACCGATTTGCTTACACGATATATGAAATTTTAGAGTTCCATGAAAA